GATAAAAACGTATACAATAATGCATTCAGAAAACAAAAATTATTCATTCCAATCGTCAATTGTATTTCTACATAATAAAGCATGTGATATTTAACATTGTTTGAATCCATTCCAAATGTAGCAGCTAGCAGTTATCCGTCGACCATTTTCCTGATTAAAATCCACATCGTTTGTTTTACATTTGCTTAAACGGTAAACGAAAGAGAATTATGTGGCAGGGAACATAAACCTTTTTCGGGATAAGAAATGAGCCCATATATCTAATAATTTATTATTTGATTCACAAACATTACGGATGTTGGTTATTTTATTTTCAGCTGAGTAAACAACATGGACAATATTTTGTATTACTTACTGTTTTTGTTGCTTGTATATAGTTCATAAAGCCATGAAAAATGTTAATAGTAAATGAAATGGTAATATGAAAAGCTAGGATATCACTAACAAACCATTTATTTATATTTTTGGCAATCTTGAATGTACAGGAAAAAGTATATAACTTGTATGTAATGAAATATGCAAAATTTATTAACAATTATTTTAAAATGTTATATTGAATATTTAAAGTAATAAATATATATACGATATTTCATTAAAATTTAGCCTCTTACGATTTAGCAACAAACTAAATACAACGTCATACAAGCATATTATCTACCGAATCTAAAATACATTGGGGCTAGACCTCGCTCGGACAATATATTATTTTCAGATGAAATCAGCCTGTAACTTTACTTAATTGACCCAAAAATAAATAAAAGATATCTCAATATTGATTATGTATGCACATATCAAATATCTCAGAACATACAGCATTATATAGAATGTCTTTATTACCGATACTTTATCATTTATCAGAAGCCAATGTCAGGTTGCCGGGAAAATACAGCAAAAAGTCATAAGAACTCCTACAGATTTCCTTTAAACCAGGAGGAAAAAGGGTCTTCAATCATCTGTCCTTGATTATGAATGGTTGGTACTCGTTGTCGTTTTCTAGTGGCGCTGGAGCAGACGACTTCCCTCTAGAGAGTTCCGTTTAATTTTCTGTGATACCGACTTTACGCCTGTCATGAATGCGGAAAAATGAAATATATGCCATCTTCTCTTTTAATTAGTTTTTTCAATCTCGCTACAGAATACCCAAAGCATATGTCGGAAATGTTGCAATTACCATCAAAATAAAGGAATTAATTTGTAACCAGGGCTATTAGAAAATCACTTGGCTTGCTGGTCGTGATGGATGGGCATACGAGACTAAATGTTTTCTATTCGCAATGTATCCATTTATATGTATACACCAGGCCGTATTCAACACTTAATGACCGTTATTAACAGTCTCCTTACTAGATCGTATCAAGTATTGGCGGGAGAAATGATCATGTGGTTTTTCTATAAAATGACTTGTAAGTTTTACGAGATACCACCATAGATGTTTTAACTGTTTATCTTCCTCTCAGGGGATAAACAAATGGAATCGTCATGATGGTTTAAATAATTATGGTTGGTTTAAACCTTAGCAAAATGATAGTTTTGCATTGTTTTATGACACATTAAGCATTTGGGTTTTTTAAAGGTGGGGTAAGACGACATAAAGCTAACTAGACATTACCATATCTTGTACCGTTGTATACTTAATTGCACACGGCGGGGATATCCGATGGTTACAATGGGATCACCGACACGTCTGAGAGAACTACGAGTCGCACACATATAACAAAAGCGTTGGTGTTTGTATTGTGAACGTTGAAGTGAAAAATATCAAAAGACGACATTACAATCCATGTAAAAACATGGTATACGGTACATCCCCCCCC